AAAAAACAAAAAAAAATAATAGTTTAAAAAATAAACAAAAAAATGAGACATCGTGGTGAAATCAGGCGCTCGTCAAAACCAAGAAATCAAAGACACAGGGATCTTTCTGGGCGTTGGGCAATTTTTTAACAATGTTCTTTTTTGGCTCAACACCTTCTTTTCATCCTTTTATAAACGCATTTCTGTGTGGATGTTACCGAAAAACGTTCATTGAAGACACAAAAAAATGTAACTTTCCAGTTTCCAACAACACTCAAGCTTGGGAAGTCGCCAAACTTTGGCGGCCATTTTCCGGCTAATTTTACCTCACATATCAGGCGAACCCCACCTCCTTCAATCGCGAATATTTTGACTTCCATTCAACATAGACGGATAATTCTTTCACTTTCACCCAAAGGAAGGCAAATAAACAGGCTTTAAGATGATGTCAATAACCCCATATACCCCAAAATTGACGAGCGCCTGATTCCACCCTCACCCCCCCCACCCCCACCAGGGCGTACCAGCATGGCACAGGGCGGCCTTGGGGTCCGACCAGAAGCTGACGCCATGGTCCCGCTGCTGGGGGTAGCGCCCAGAGGCAAGCCATGTGTCCAGGCTCCTCTCACTGCAGACGTGGATCAAGTAGTACTCATTCACTTCCCCATAAACCCCGTTCTTCATGCTGCCTGGCAAAGATTCTGTTGATTGCAGCTTACCAGAAATGAGATCTGGCTTCTTGAGACAGCTGCGTTGCCTAACAGCTGATTGGAAAAGCCGTTTTCTATTATGAGCGTACTTCTCAAACATTCGTGGCGCCTCCAGCCTAAGGATACCCGTCACCTGGATGCTTCCTGCTGCGGAAGATGTTTGGTCGCTCCCTGTCGCTCTTTGTGGGTCAGTGAGCGTTAGAACTCCGGCAATTGCGTTCATAGTAAGGCCTACGATATTGTACCGCTTTGGATCAGGTGTCCGGTTAAACCAATATGGAGGATACCTTTCTTCAACACTTGATGCGCGGCTGAGAAATTCTTGTGTGTATCTCTTTGGCCCATTGATTTCATGAAGGGTAGGCCGTACAACTGAGGTAATATCATTAAATCGATCTTGAATGAAGAGATACATTTCTTGAACGGCGTTCTTTCTTCCTCTGATTCTATAACTCGGCTGTCGAGTCTTGCGGATAGGATGGGATGAAATTTCTGCGCTCACTCCTAATTCCTGGCTGCCCTTCCGAATAGCGTTAATGGTTTCGTCTGGCCAGCTTTCAAGATACTTCTGATGGAAGTAGTTCTCATGGAGACAGATCCTAGATAGCATTGTCTTAAGCTCTGTCCAAAGAGTGGACAGCTGGACCTCGTGACGAGTGACTATCGTAATGGCAGGCGCTCCTGACGGCATCATCTCTCGTTGGCTCGTGTCCCGACTAGCGACACTAGAGTCGTCGTCTCGTGGGAGTTCTCTGGTGAGACATTCCTGAAGACTCTGGGAATACTCCGTGCCCGGGGCCAGACACACAATCTCCGACAGACAGGAGTTTGGGTTGAGACGTAGGAAATTTTGAATAGACTTCACGAGACAACCTGCAGCTTCGTCAGGAGGAAATTTAAGAGTGCAACCACATCCAAGTGGGGGGAAAGAAATAGATCGTGCTCCCATGTCGGTTGTCAACACCAGAGTCTGGTGGACAGCTCGGGACAGCTGCAGTCTCTGGGTGTCGCCACTTGCCCCTGTCCACGGGGACAGAATGATGTGCACGACCGCCTGGCACGATAAAGGCTCCAGGTTATTTTTGGTTACAAGTACTGCAGCCTGCTCCGTGCTCCGGTGACCTCTTGTCTGGCTTTTTAGCTGTTGGCAAAACGATGGACATTTTCTAGAGAAAGCCCTACCAACACGAGTTTTGCGCGCATCAAGTTTTTCAGTCAGGACACAGACGAGAACATCTGACAGTTCCTCTGTGATGTCGCCTGTACTCTTCAAGATGACCTGACAAGTCTGAGTGGCCCTGAACGCTTCCCCAGAAACTGATGCCTCCCACGTCCTTGCAGGTTGAATGTTTGAAAGAACCAAACATTTTTTCTGTTCTTCAAATTCCGAAATCTCCGTCTGGCAAAGTTCATCACGAAGACCTATGGCGAGCAGCTCCACGTCGGTGTCCTCAAACTCTGCGCCTAACTCCCAGGTCCCAGACTTGATCAAGTCCTGCATGTGCCCTAGCTTCTTGAGGCAACTCTTCACTTCCTCGCCGTTCCCTTTGAGGATGAGAGAGAAGCCACTGGACGTGTCCGAGTCCCCGGAGATAAATCTGCCAAACTGTTCCCTCACTTCCGGCTCAAGGTATTTCCGGAAAAACAAGGCTATACTTGGAGACCTCGGTCGAAAAGTGGCAATCTGTATCGAGCGTTTCTGAATAATGGCATCGATCTTCTCACACAGGCTCAAAATGTCTCCTTCCACCCCAGTCCATGTTAGAAGAAGCATTTCTTTCTCACCACTTTGCTCACACACGACGAGATATTTCTGAGCTTCATTTGAAGCCAAAAAAGATTTGACATGGAAGATCACATCTTTCCCCTTCACCTCACGTCTGACCGTACATTTAAGCTTCTTCTGCATCAACAGCAAACAGTCATCAAGAACTTCTTTTTTCAGGCTAGCAAAAGTCAAACAATTCTCCCTCAAAGCCCACGACACACCCTGTAACTGTGCCTCTAGGTACCGCTTCCCTTTTTCCTCACAAAGCACATCGAAGAAAGCCGGGGACAGTTCTAAACTCACCGACTGAATCTGTCCCTTGCGGACCAGGAGATCCAACTTCCGCTGTGACACGTGTTCATAGGTTCCTCTCAGCTGTACTTTGCCCGTCTGCTGATCATAGTACGCAGAACATTTCCGCGTGGATTGGAGCAAATCGCTGAGAAAACCTTTTTCCAGTTCGGTCATAACGACGGAATCCGCCTCATGTCGATTCTTCTCTCGCAACTGAGCATTTTCTTTTTCTCTTTGGTGAATATCCCGCTGTAAATGTTCAATGTTTCGAGAATGTTCCCAGTACGTTTCTCCAGGGAAGGAATGCGCTGCCTCTGGAAAAGTGCTGGCGTCTGCGGGTGAAAAAGGATTTTCCAGCTGAAAGGATGCACCTTCAACATCGAAGATAAATGGTGTGTTTTTGGTCATGATAAATTTGGATCTACCTCTTCCAGCTTTCTTGCGTGTTGCGCTCTTACGGTATCTTTTGTTTCCTGCACTTAGGGCAGCATCACTGGTGCGTCTTTCGTTCCCAAAAACTTCTTCAGCAGATTCCAAAATGTCACTTGCAAAAGCAGAACTGTTTTTTGGCGAGTCTCGAAACTTCCAAGCAACCCCTTTTTGGCCTCCAAAAGTTGTCATGGTGATGGCAACAGAAGAAAACTACTTCTTGGAATAAAATGTCTTTATTTCTCTCTGCTATCCTATGTGAGAACCAAGTGTCGACAATACGCTACTGAAAAACACAAAGCGGAAAAATGCATCGTCAGTGAAAGATGAACGCATGAATGGAATTCAAGGTTGATTTTTGTAACAGTAGTTTTTTCAGTTTTTTTGTTTGTTTGTTTGTTGTTGTTGTTGTTGTTGTTGTTGTTGTTGTTGTTGTTT